CTCCCGGCGCCGCCGCGCTTCTCCGGTCCCCGCCTCCCGGCGCCGGCACGCTTCTCCGGTCCCCGCCTCCCGGCGCCGACACGCTTCTCTACCGCCCGTCTCTTGGCACACTTCTCTGGTGCCCCTCTCCCGGCGCCGGCACGCTTCTCCACTACCCACCTCCCGGTGCCAGCACGCTTCTCCACCGCCCATCTCTTGGCACACTTCTCCGGTGCCCACCTTGCGGAATGGTGCCTGCCTCCCATCACGCTCCTTCAGTACTGCCTCCCGGCATGCTTCCCTGGTGCCTGCCTCCTGGCACCCTTCTCGGGTGCCCTCCCTCCAGCACGCTTCTCGGGTGCCCTCCTCCTGCCACGCTTCTCTGCTGCCTGCCTCCTGGTGCATTTCTCTGGTGCCCGCCTCCTGGCACCGGCATGCTTCTCCGGTGCCCACCTCCTGGCATGCTTCTCCAGTACCTTCTCCTGGTGCCGGCATGTTTTCCGGTGCCTGCCTCTTGGCTCCGGCACGCTTCTCCGGTGCCAAATTGCAGCATTCGTCTGCATCACCGATGCCAAGGGAGCGGACAGGAAATTGAGCACAGGGCCACTGCCCTGGCACAGAGAGCCCAGAGAGAGGTCCGGGGTAGGCCTCTCAGTCAGGTGCAGCCCAAGCGGCTCTGTTGCCTCTGGCCCTGGGACAGAGACGCATGGAGCCCGCTGCTGGCGGACGCCTCGGGATGAGTCTCGGCGGCGGCTTGGCGCTTCGCCTACGTGAGGTGGCACAGAACCTGCTGACTCCCAGTGCCACCTGGCCCCCAGCCAAGTCCACAGGGGACAGCCCAGGCGCTGAAGGGCCTTGCTCCACGAGAGCCAGGAGCGTCTGCGAGGTGGCAGCCAGCCCCCCATCGCCCAGGACGCCCTCCCCCGCTCCTCTGCCCTCCGCCTCAGAGCAGTGGAAGGGGAGAAGGGCTCTGCTGGAGGCCAGCCCTGCCTGGCTTGGGGAGCCCGCCCAGCTTTGCACGGCTGTGGCACAAGGGAAGAGCCCTTGGGCACCGAGGTCTCGCCTGGCCCATGCTCCCCTGCCATGCCCAGGCTGTGACCCGCCTCCTGCCCCCTTGCCCGAAGGTGAGTCGGCAGGTTCTGGGGGCCCCAGAGTCGACTGGCAGTGCCTAGCAGGGAATGGAGACGAGCAGCCCCTCTCGAAGAGCAACAGGCCAGAAAGGGCAGTGACCCACCGAGGCGCCTGGAAAGCCGAGCAGCTGCCAGAGCAGGCGTGCTTGCTGCTGGCTCCAGGGGCTTTTTTTACTGATCGGGGCCCTGGGGCGCGGTGCCAAGGTGTGACGACACGTTGGGGTCCCCCGCCTCCTGCACCCCCGAATGGCACGGACAGACTCCCCCAGCCGGTAGAACAGGGGAGTTTATTGCTTCTCCAGGCTACAGCACAGCACAGATGTCACCAGGTTACAGGAACTGGGGCTAAGAGGCCTCAGTGCCCCCCTTGAGAAGGGGGAGTCCCAGCCCCCTCCCCAGCTCCTTCTCCCCTGCTTTCCAGACAGGAACTAACCACCTCTCCTCCAGCCCTGCCCCCCAGCCAGGGCAGCATCCACCTTCCTTTGTTCCTCTCCATGGGGGGTGGCTGGTCAGATCAGTTTGGAGCCACCTTTGCATAATGACTCCCCCTTTCTCTGCTGGGTCTTGCTACAGCCTTAGCAAGTTACCCCCACTACATCACACTACGTCACAACTGGCCAGGTGAGTTAGATGGGGGAGGGGTGGAGCCGATCCGCATCGATGCTCCCATGTGGGCTGCAAACAGCCGCGGGCAGGGTCCCCGTGTTCTCTCGCTGGCTCCAAACAGCCCAGAGCCTGAGTCGAGCTCCTGGCTTTGCCTCTGCCGGCCGACCCGTGTGACGGGGCAGGGCTCAGGCCGCCAGATCTTGTGGCTTCTCCCCGAGCGAATTCCATTTTGGAATCAGTGCCATGGAGACCCTTGTGACTTACAAATCCAGGCCACTGCTGCGTTGGAAGTGGCTGGCCAGCGACAGAAGGGGCCTGTGAGCCTGGTGCCACGACCGTGCAGGGTCAGGCCAGCCCTGCGCCCACTTGTCCAGGGCTTCTCCGCTGGGGTCACAAGCTGCCAGCCTGCCCCCCGAAACCCTGCTCCGCCTCCAGCGCTTACTGGGGTGTGACTGTCCCGGGAGAGCCCCTCAGCGACTTGCCGTGGGACGGGGCCCTGCCCGCACGACTGAGCAGCACTGCCTCCTCGCCAGGCGGGGCGAATCCGGAGGACACGCCGCCTGGGCTCTGTCTGCGGCTGAGCGTTCAGCCAGCGCCTGCCTTCTGGGGAGCTGAGTGGGACCTGGCACCAGGCTGCCTGGTGGGGAGGGAGGGGGAGGGTTCCTGGGTGACTGCATAACTGACGGGGCGGCGTCCTTGTGCTGTGTTTTGTAGTCGGGGGGCGCCATGGCTCCGGCATTGAAGGAGTTGCCAAGGTGGCTTGATGCAAACTCGGAGTTCGCAGTCGCAGCAGACTGGGCTGACATTGTTAAGCTTTCAGTAAGTTAGAGCTTTGGGGGCGACCTGTGTCACATCATCTGGCCTCTCCTCGCCCTCCCCGTCGCCTGGGGGGGCATCTTCTGGACCAGCTCTGCCGGGGGCCAGCGGAAGCCCAGGGCGGAGCTGGGCGCCCTGCAGCTGGCTGGAAAAGCTCGGAGTTCGCAGTCGCAGCAGACTGGGCTGACATTGTTAAGCTTTCAGTAAGTTAGAGCTTTGGGGGCGACCTGTGTCACATCATCTGGCCTCTCCTCGCCCTCCCCGTCGCCTGGGGGGGCATCTTCTGGACCAGCTCTGCCGGGGGCCAGCGGAAGCCCAGGGCGGAGCTGGGCGCCCTGCAGCTGGCTGGAAAAGCTGAAGGAAGGGAAGGGGGGGAAGGGCGAAGGAGGCAAGGGAAGGGGAGGGGGAGGAGGTAGAAGGGGGAGGGGA